GGCTTCCGGCTGCCGTCGGGCTCGGTGCCGATGTTCCCGCCGATGACGCACATGCACGCGCCGCCGCCCGCCGCCAAGCAGACGCACCACGCGATGCTGCCGCCGGCTCTGATGGAGCACCATCACCCGCAGGAATTCTCGATGCCGTTCACCGAGTCGCCGGCCTCTTCTTTAACCGGGCAGCTCGCGGACGTCGGGACGGAGTCGAAGGAGCAGTCTCTTCCGGAGCGCCATCGGACGACGCCGCTGCTGCCTACAGTATCTCCGACGCAGAGCTCGGAGGGCGTGATCTCGGAGAAGAATTCTCTGCTGGGAACGATAGCCAACAAGGAGAGAGAGGAGGAAGGCTGGGGGAAGACGACGACGACGAGCCGTCCATCGACGAGCACGCCGCGGATGACCACCGTGCAGAGTCTGACGACGGACCCCATCTTCTCGCACTACAAGCAGCCCGCGAAGCCTATCCGCGGCCCGATGTACCTGATCATCCAAGGCCACTCGAAGGTGAAGACCTACAAGCCCACGGTGACCAAGCACGGCGTGCCGGTGGCGCAGAACGAGATCGCGGAGGCCGTCGCCGACAGGCAGCTCTCGAAGTTCGAGCAGTTCGTGAAGGAGAACACGAGGAGCGGCAACGCGAGCGTCGCGACCGCCGAGAAGAAGAAGGCCGAGGAGAAAGCGCGAGCCGAGAAGATCGCGCAAGCTCGTCAGAACAGCCTGATGAGCCTGCTGGAGAGCGGACTGGGCAGCTTCGCCGTGTCCTCGGCGTCTCCGTCGGCGTCCTCGACGCCGTCCTCGCCCACCACGACGTCGGAGGAGGAGCACCAGCCGAACTCTGTGACCACGATCGAGATCAACGGCAACTAGGAAGGCTCGCGAGCACACCGATCACCGCGATCGACTCGCGGGGGAAGCGGCTTTGGACCGGAGGCGGACGATTCCGTCGGGGGAGACCGCTCGCGACTCGACGGAGCCGCGAGGCTGGAGGCTCGTCGGCCCGTCGGCCGAGCCTGTTATTCTATTATTACGTTTTTCTACGATATTTATTATTCTCTTATCATATCATACCCCGCGGTCACCTTCGTAGAGGCTCAACGCGCGGCAGGTTTGCAGCCGACACTGCTGCCGCTGCTGCTGCTGCTGCTGCTGCCTGGCTCTCTCGTCCCCGACGAGAGAGGCGCGCCAATTTCTAATGTGCCAGTATACACGTGTAACGCGACGCACATGTACAGGCTCCCGCTCGCACGCACGCACGCACGCACGCACGCATGCTTACACACGGACGTAGAGATACAGAGAGACAGCGTGCAGACTAGTACCGCGAATCGTAACACATGTCGCGCGTTCCGATGAGTCGGCGACGATGAGATTGCTCGACGGACGAAGGCGGAACAAGCGCAGCATTCGTGCTCGTCGTCGCGCGACGAGGTTGCCTCTCGGTCGACGCGCGAGTCGTCCAACGGAGCCGAACGTCAGGGGCGAGTTCCGTTCCGGTCAGCGTTGCATCGATCGCGGCAGAAGCGTCGATCGCGTTCCGGCTCCGCGCGGATTCCGCGACCGAGAGCGAGGAGGAAGCGAGAAGCAGCATAGCGTGCGCCGCTCGCGCGCTTCGACGGCGTCGAGACGGAAACGTACCGCGGATGCGTACCATGTTGCATTACGAGAATTGTACCTGACGGTCGCACGTTCTCTTGATTCGCCCGTTTGTCAATAAACTGTTTGCCAATGAACAGCGATCGTCGATCGATCGACCCTCCCTCCCGTCCGATTCTTTCTCGCGTCCGCCGACCGGTGCCGGGCCCTCGTCCCGCAGAAATGCCAATCGATTACACACACGCCCACCGGCGAAATTTATCGCCGGAGCATCTCCTCGGGAGCGTTCGCGGGATAAAAGCTGCCGAAACGGTACTTTGTCTCGATTTATCGGCGCTAATGATCCTTAATTCTCGTCCGCGTGTTCGAATCATCCTCGCATGTCCGCCGGGCCCCCCGATCACGGTGCGCCGCCGTCGTATCTTCTTTCTCCGGCGGTGCCCGGCGCACGGAATAATTACAATCGCGCGACTCGCCGTTGTTGCCCCGATCGAGTAACGTTCCCGGTCGCCTCGCTCGATAACCGACGTTCGTCGCAAGATGAATAGCCGAGAACCACGACGACGACGAGCGAGGAGAGTGCCAGCACGAGGAAAGGAATCGACGAACGAAACGGGAAAGCGAGCGCGATCGGGAAGATCGAAGGGCGAAACGCGGAGGGCACAGGAAATCCGGGGGGAGTCGAGACCGAGACTCGGAGGACCGGTACGCGCGTTGGAAGGTACTTGGCAAGGCCAACGAAGGGCGGGGGAAGGGCGAACGAAGGGCAAGGTAGGGCAGGAGAGGAGAAGGGATCGAGCCGAACCGAAAGCACGAATTTAAGGTTAATTTATGGCGTAATTTAGTTTCAATGTCGGTAGCATAAATCTCCCGTGGAGGACAGGGGTCCGGGCCCCGCGACGTGCGTGCCGGGAAAAAAAGTCGACGAAATAAAGTTACCGGCACGTAGAAGCTGGCTCGGCCGGCCGGCCGACCGAGTGCACCGGTATCTCTCTTCCCGAGACATCTCTCCCTCCCCCCGTCCCGCTCCTCCTTTTCTTCGTTTCCCTCTTAACGATTTGGTTTCGCTTAGCTCCGTTGCCGGCCGCGTCTCGGTCCTATTTCATTTCGTCCGATGATCAACGACTCGACGCGGGAGCAAGGGTTCAAACGGTACACCCGGAATCTATCGGCGGAGGACGATCTAACGCGACCGATTCGCGCCTCGAAGGGGGAGGAACGCGCGCGCGCGCGGCGAGGAAGGGAGGAGAGAGACGATCGAGGGGAGACACGGACGGAACACCGTCAACCGAGATTAAGCGATCGAACCGAGGAAGGGTGTTTCCTGACAGTCTGAAGAATTACGCGATCAACGTTAAAAATCTCCCGGCGACAATGCTGCCGCAGGAGACCGGCCCGCACCCCTGCCTCGCGGGGCCTCCGCAGCTTTTTTAGGGAAATCGGTCGCGCGAGGAACCGATTAAATGCAAGTTGCTGATGTTGGCAAGAGGAACCAGGGAAGGCGAGCTGCCTTCGTGTAAGTCAACCCTTGCGCTCGAGGAGTTTTCACTGGACATGTTGGAAATTGTCTTGTGAAATGTGGACGACGTTCTTTGAATTGAACCCTTTGCGCTCGAGATTTCACTGGACATATTGGAAATTTTCCTGTGAAATGTGGACGATATTCTTTGAATTGAACCCTTTGCGCTCGAGAAGATTTCACTGGACATGTTTGAAATTTTCCTATGGAATGTGGACGACATTCTTTGAATTGAATGCTTTGCGATCGAGAAGTTTTCACGTGAAATATTAAAAGAAAATAGCATTGGTACCTAATTTATGTATGATTTCTTGTTAAATTCATTTCCAAGAATACTGTCTATATCCAATTAGAAAGTATAGAATACTTCAAATGAAAAACTTTCGAGTGCAAAGGGTTAAAGGTAACATTTCAGTGACTCCTAAATATTCTCGACTAAATAAATAGAGCGTCATATTAAGCTGCAATCGAATGAACTAACGTCGACGTGAACCTCAAAACGAGACACCAAGGAGCACTTCGGACCGCAAAGGGTTAACCCTTATCGGAGGCTAGCTTTCCGTAGATGATTCTCGCTATGTTGCAGTTGATTTCGGTGAATATGCGACTTTCAGTATTATAAGAATAACAGTTTTGTTGGAAATTATTTATTACTGACGGAGTGTTACAAATATACGAGTTTCAAATAATCACTTATACGCTTTCAAATATTATTTGAGACAAAGTTCTCGAAAGTTCTCCGCTGGAAACATCCAACATTTCCCGACGAGATACAGACGACATTGTTCGAATCTAATTTAACGATGATTCACAGATAAATTAAGCGACGAAGTAATTTTATGTAAATATTTCCTATAGCAATACAAACTTTCATTTAAAATACTAAATATTCAATTTTACAGTTCTGTATCAAATCGAGTGACTGAGAGTCACCTCTCGAGTGCGAAGGGTTAACAAATACCTAGCTTCAAACTGTGTCGTATTCACGTAGCAAATAAATATTCAATACTTAGAGATCCGCGACGCGATCGGTCGACGTTCCATCGCGATCGCGACGATCCGATCGAAGCACGACGAAATCGTTCGAGGGATCGCCGAACGATAGACGGCCGTATCGCGTGATACGAGTTTCACGGTTTCCCGTGGAATCGACGGTTCTCGCGGGCCCGAAGGTTGGCTTTCGGCTCGACGGGGTCGCCGTTTCCTGCACGGTTTTCTCGGTCTCGCCTTTGCGTAAGAATAAGGCCGAACTAGATACGCCGGAGGCGTGGGTTCCGAGTACCGGAACGGAACGGAACAGAAGACCGAGAGACCGGAGAGGGTACGGGGACACAGATATTGGGTTAGTTTTTGCAACTGGTTTCTAGTTTCCACAGTGGTGCAATGAGGCCTGCGCTTCCCGTAGACGATCACCACGTTCCAGATTAAACTCGCACCGTAACGCGGCGAGGACGAGGACGAGGACGTAGGATCAAGAAAAAGAAGTGGTTCTCCGCCGATCGAGGAAGGGGCCCCCGTTGGGCCGCCGTTATGGGGATTTCGATTTCCATCCGATACGATTACGCTCCGCGCGAATTCGACGATCGCGACGGCCCCTACCGAGCTTTCGACTTGGGAAGCTGGATTAACCCTTTGCACTCGGGAGGTGACTCTCAGTCACGGCTTGATTTCCTACGGTAGCTATAAAGTTTGATACTTAATATTATACTTCGTATGATGCATCAATCTGAGAAGTATTCACGTAAAGTAGCTTTGCCCGTCGATTCACGTGAATTTCGAGTTGGTTTTGCAAAATGTCTTCGTCTCGTCAGAAAATGTTGAGATATTTATAGTGAAAAACCTCGGAGTGTAAATTAACCCTTTGCACTCGAGAGGTGACTCTCGGTTGCCAACTGATTCGACACAGCGAAGTTATAGAGTTTGATATTTAATATTATAATTCGTATGATGCATCAATCTGAGAAATATTCACGTAAAATAGCTTTGTCCAATTCACGTGAATTTCGAGTTGGTTTTACAAAATGCCTATAAAGTTTGATATTTAATATACGTAATATATTGACGTAAAATAGCTTTGTCCGTCAATTCGCGTGAATTTCTCGTCGAGTCGGTTTCACAAAATATCGTCTTCGTCTCATCAGAGAATGTTGAGATATTTCCAGTGAAAAACTTCCGAGTCCAAAGGGTTAATACATATTTCAAGGTGATACGAGACTAGCAATCGTTGCTTGAACGACTCGAAAAAAGATCAAGTGCAGAAATGGTCCTCGAGTGAAACTGACCCTCGAGAGGACCAACGGATGCACTTCTGTTACCATTAAAAATATCGCAACGCTGACTCTCAGCACTAAGATTCCGAGGATCCTCATAAACCGCGGCCGGCATCGCTCTCGACTTTCGGTCCGAAACACTCGGACGCCCCCGGACATTCGTTAAACGGCCGCGCAACGATCGCGGTGGAAGTTCGACAGCGGCGGAAGCAGTCGGCGGAGACTGCTTAGGCCGTCGGAGTTGCTTAGACCGGTAAGCTTGTGGAAAGAAGCGAAAGAACGGAGGCTCGATGCAAGCAAGAGCCCTCTCCCCCCGTTCCCCCCTCCTTCCTCTTTCTTTCCCTCTCGAGTCGTCCGAATGGTACGTGAGTTCCAGAAACACACTGACGACTATTCGATTCCCCGTACCGATAGACGCGGCCTGTCGCGCGAGGCTCCGCCGCCATCCCTTGTCCGGTATGCGAAACGTTTCCCGTTGCACCGTCCGATTCTTTTCTCCCACGCGATCGCTCGCGTGAAAACGCCGCGGACGATTTGCTCGGCACCGATCGGCACCTCTCGCGACATCGATTACACCCTTGGAAAATCGAGCGGCGAGAGACGAGATCCTCTGATCGCTACGCCGCCGAGGAACCTCGTCAATCTTGACGCATTGAGCGCCGGCTAAATTTCAGATACTAAAAACGCGAGTGTCGGTGATTGTATCGATACATTTTTAAACGTTGATTAAACCAAAACTTCTAACTTACGGAAGAGAATAAGGAATTCAATTTTGTAAATTTTACTTTGGATTTGTGTCATACATATCTAAAATGTTGCGTAAACGTAGGATATTCTACTAATTCCACGTTCATGTATCATTGTAGATACGTGTAACGCAAATCCAAAGTAAAATTTACAAAGACGAATCCCTTATTCTCTTCTGTAAGTTAGAAGTTTTTGTTTAATCGATGTTTAAAAACGTATCGATATAATCATCGAATTTATATATGTTTCCTCGTTAATTAGTTTCAAAGAACATCGTCTGTGTCTCGTCGAAGAATATCGAATATTTCTGGTGAAAAACTTTCGAGTGCAAAGGGTTGAGGTTGTCCCGAAAGTACCTTTCGTTCTATCGATACAATCAATACATTTCGTCTTGTTACGTAACCCCGTCTATTCTAGCTTCCTCGTACCGATCTTTCCCTTAGAAGCAGTGTCACCTCTCCGCCATTTCTGCCGAAGCACAATTAGACGAAGGAGACTAATGGGACAGCCTAGAACCGTATGCTACATGTTAACTTTTTCCAAGGTTTACGTTTCGACACCTACACCTTCATCTTCGAAAAATCGAAGCGTATTCCTGCCGAAGCACAATTAGACGAAAGAAACTAATAGAACAGCCGAAGACCATATGGCTCGAGAATACAACGGCACACGATTTTCCAACCTTTCGACACCTTCTACATCTTCTACTTCGAAAAATCGAAGCGATCGTCGCGGCTTCCGAAGAGGCGAGCGCCGCGCGTTCGCCAGCAGCCCTTTCCGTTCCCCGAGTAGCCTCGTTGCGAGATCCGTTTAGACCGGGGAAAGTGGAATACGATTTACATCCTGTTCGGATGAATCGGAACCCTTCTACGAGCGAGCGCCGGTCGGTGTCAACGAACGAAACGAAGCTCGACGCGATCGGCTCGTCCGTCTGCCACGTTTTTCCGTCTTTTCATGGACGCGCACCGCTACCGGATGCGAGAAGAAAGTTCGGTCACCGATTTGGACGACGATGAAAGTGTCGTTCCGAGCGTGGACTCGATAATCCGGCGTCGGGTTTTGCATACAATCGATCGGGATTAGAAAGCAATTAAACGGTCGCCGCCGGGGCCGATTCCCGCAGACTAATTTTCATGCACCTGTGAGCACGGCTGCCGATACGCACTCGGCCGATGAACATTGCTCGCACAAACGAACCGTGCAACGAGCGGCTACGCAAATGCATTCTCCACGGAGAACGAAGACGGTTGGGACACGTCCCGGGCGAGCTCGTTACCGTCGCAAGAGGGAACCGATCGCGAACGGGCGCTTGAAAGAGAAACCCTTCCAGCGGAATCTCTTCTCGCGAACGGTGGTTGCTCATTTTGTTTATCGATCTTTCAAACTTCTATCGGTGAAGCTTGCACGTTTCATCGTTGACGAGTTCCGTGCTGGAAGTTTCGGTTGTAGTCTCTTGTTTCGCGACGTGTCTTTGACACGTCTGATAAAGAGTGTTTATAAAAATTCCGTGTATTCCATAAAGGACACACATGGGTTGTTAAATATGCCTTGTTTTAAAACGTTCTACTTGTTAACACATTGGCAACGAGAAATTTCGTATTATACGGAGAGACGTGGCTATAACTTTGCTAATTACCGCGGCGTTTGAAAAAATATTGCATTTGATTCGAGCTAATTATCTGTTTGAAATATATTACATGGCAATGTGATATTTGAATTTTTCTATATATATATGTTGATAATGATATAAGTTGATTTTACCAGTTTTCTGAAAATTAGCCCGTACGTAATGCAAATTTATTAAACGTTAATGTTAATTTCACGTTATCGTATTTAAAGGAATACTCTGTAAGCTTGTTAACGTTGCCTATGCGAATTTTGTTGTTGCTATCTACAAATGTTGCAGTTACTTGCAAATCGTGTTTTTCAAACAAACGGAATATTCATAGAATATTTCACACGAGTGTTTTAAATAGGTGTACAATTAGCGACAATTATTCAATTTTAACCGTTTGAGTGCTGAGCAGCGCTATAGCAGTCTTGCGTTGCGCCAAAATGGCGGATCTGTTCATCAGTGGCACTTATAATTTGTTTACTACGTTTTTCAAGAAAAAAATCAAAATAAATTTATTCGAATAAATGTTACTTTTTGATACTTCTTTTTGCAATAACAGAATACTTGTGATCTAATTAGATAACTACTCTTAATTTCGTTCATTCACACCCAATAATTTCCACATTTTATTATATACCCACAAAATTTGTTTAACACTCAAACGGTTAAAGGAACCCTTGGGATCACTAACATCATCTACAATGAAATCATCAAGCTACTCTAACCACAGTTGGTAAGTCAATCATTAACCGCGTCACTTGTAACCACGATCGGTACGTGTCTCGATACTCGAGAGTGTCGATCGTCTAGCAGTTTCAGCGTTTCGCCACTGATGGCAGCACTGATCAAAGACTAAGATTCATATATTATTTTCAAAGTGACTTAACTCCACTTAAAAAGATCAATGATCAAAGAATAGATCATGTAGAATTATAACTATTATAACGATTAACCTGATTTTTGAAAATGGACCCAACGTTCGCTAAGCGTCACATATTTAACGGCCGTAATCATTTTACATAATGAGAATGAAATGAAACAGATATTGTTGCTAATATAATGTAGTTATATATAATATAGTTTATAGTTTCTAATATTTAGGAACTCAATGACTCGTTTCAGTTTCATTTTTCTATTTCGTTTAGATTTATTGGATCGAAAATATAATCAATGTAGCGAACGCGTCGAGCCACTTTCAAGATAAAATAATTCATATTATATCTAACAATTAATATTGTATCAAATAATTTCTATTATATCGGATAAAATAATATGTAGCAATAGATTCACGATACATTACGAAGTGGATGGTAAAAGCCGTTCGAAGGAATATTGGAGAATTGAACTATCCGACGCGTGAGCGCTGGCAATTCGAATGGATCGAGTTACTATCTTTATTACCACAGTTATTACATGCGTAATGATCGTCGGTAAACATATATCAAAGTGATTAATCAATGCGCATACATATTACGAAACGTGTAACTATACAAATATATTTATATCACAGTCGTAGACAAAAAGAACTGAACGTTAAATCGATATCGAAATTACTTGGAGTACACCTAAGTCTCTAAAATCCGCCAGGAAGCCTCGGTGATTTCGAGCGAACGAACACGCTCGGCTCGGAATGTTACGCGAGAGCCGTATCGCGAGAAACCTATTTTACGAGCCCGATAATTATCGTTGGAAGCGCGCGATTCGATGCGAAGCGTGTCACACGCGGCACAGTTCTGTTAACCCTTTGCACTCGCGACGGTGAAATCATCGCTTGATTTCACGCGGAACTATGAAATCTGATATTCAACTCTTTGCGGACGAACGTCGCCATTTTGGAATCAAACTTCCATGTTTTAGTATACCAAATTACAAACGAATGATTTAGTTATTCGAACAGTGAGAAATCGGTGCAGTTTCATTATTCTCTACGATTCTTAGCACTCCAGGTTGTTTCGTAATCTATTAGCAACTGCAACTAATTTTTATACTATTATTTTATAGTATTCTAGATCTCTTCGATCTCTTGTTTTCCGTGATAGTACAAAATTTGGACGTGCGGAGAATCGAATAATTTTAGGGTGGTTTCTTTAAGATTCATTAGAATATTTAGTATTATAACTGGTGCAATATTGGAGCCTACAGAGTTCAAAGGGTTAAGCGCTGAATGTTTAATTCAGCAGAATCTGCAGGTTTCCCATAGTTTCAGCGATCTTCGTCCGCAAAGGGTTAACGTTGAATCTTGTATAATGTCGATACATGAAATATTCGAGTGAAACAGCTTGCCTCGATGTACTCGTGATTTCGAGTTAGTTTCAAATATCATGTTCGAATAAAATTCGAAATTCAGAAGCTGCTAAATATTTCTAGCGAGAAGCGAGTGCAAAGGGTCAACACGTTAAGCGCCACGAAAATCTTGACGCTTTTTGGTAGTCATACTTTCGTAACGAAGAAAAGGGACAATTATTAATTATCTGCACTCCTATCAACTTCGTTACGTTACAACCACGTTGAATGCCAATCAAATTGAATTATTATAGTTTCATCGATTAAACGATGATTATTTGAAAATACTTCTATATCAATACTACTATCTAATGCGACATTCAGCTTGATGCAATAATAAACGCAATTCAATCAAATGATTCAATATTTTCCCATTTCGTATATACTTCTCTACGGAATCGGCATTCAACGTGAACATCCTCATCAACATCGTCATCTACCCCGTCACGATCTTCAACTGAGAAGCATCAATCATCGGTGACAAACATGGCGCTCAACGTGTCCAGCGAAACCGAAACACAGGTCGAACCGACTGAATAGGAAGATCGGCAATGGAATGATTTTCATTTGTACACGAACACGATGAACATTACAGAGAATCCTCTTCCCGAAGAGGCGATCGACAAGATCAAATCCGAGCAACGAGAGAAAACGTTCTACAACTATTACAACATTTACGTGAATACTTCTCTTATCCGTTGGAACGACGAAGCCGTTCTCCGAGAGACGGACCAGAAATCCCTATTTCATTTTAATCTTTCAAAACCGATTCGACGAGATACTCTGTCCTCCGAGCGTGCGCACTATCCCCCCGCAACGCCAGAACCATCGAGGAGGGAAACTCTCCTTCGGCACCGACTGTGAATTCGTTCGAGAATCAACGTCGAGGTGTCCCTGACTTCGTGAAAAACGAAAAACCCCCGTGGAAACGGCGTGAATCTCGGAGCGACGACAATTGCAATGTCCACGCGCGAATCTAACACATTGAGCGCCGGTCCCGCGATAATGCGGACCTCTGGATCTCCATTTCTGGATACGACGAATATAATAATATAACACTTTGACTGCCACGTCACCGGAATTCGGGTGATTTTGCTATACTTTCCGCTCAGGAGATTGTAATCTTTGAGATTGTAATCCAAAAGTAAAATCTGCTCGAAACTTTCTTGATAGCTAATGAACGAAGTCATTAGTACATTGTTCCTCGCGCATTCAGCTGCTTCACATACACGAAATACAAGGAAGATAATGGAGCAATTATTAAGAAGAATTTTAATTTCTCAGTGTCTGGTTAGTGAAGAAAGCTGTTCCGAGCATATGGTAGTTTCGATGAGTGTTTACGTGGCAGACAAAGGGTTAACGAAGAAAACTGTTTCGAGCACATGGGAGTTTCGATGAACGTACGTGGCAAAGTGTTAAAATGAATTTTACGAAAACGTGTAATATTTTGAATATTCTTTTAGCTACAAGCGAACGAAGCCGTTTGGGCTAAGCGGCCGGCGCGTTGCCGGCTTGAAATGTCTCTTAAGTCACCGGCGCTCAATGTGCCGAGAGCGCCAACGTCTGTACATCTGTACATCTCCGAACTGTTCCTCTCTGGAAGCACATTCACCGACGATGAATAATACTCTTCGCGCTTCCTCCGATATGCCGGCACGTTCGTGCGTTAGCGAACACTCGCTGCTTTCCGGTGGACAGAGATTGAAAATGCGTTGGCCGGAACCGTCCGGAGGCGTCTAACGTGAATTATCCGTCGCGACGCAGACCGGCGCAACGCCGGGGACGAGAGAGAGCGCGATCCGGTGTCCCGACGTTGGATGAAATTCAGCTAAAACGACGTTGCATCGCGACGACGGGGCCCGGGCGACGCTACGCGTCCGCGCGCCCGTCGTCGGGCTTCCCCTTTCCTCAGAAGTTCGCTTCCAGCGAGGTGTCCAGCTCGTTCAGAGCCGGGACCAGCGTCTGCAGGGAGAAGTAACGCGATCGGTCGGCGACGTCGACGCTCGTCACGTGCTGGAACTGGCAGGGCTGGCTGATGTTGCTCTTCGCGGGCAGCACCACCTTCTTAGGCAACGGCTTCTTCTTCTTCTTGCCGGGCACCGAGAGGCTGATGTTCTCCGGGCAGGAGACCAGCCGCTCTATGTGCTGCCACAGGTCGTTCGCCGCCTTCGGGTTGTCGAAGCTCAGGCCTGCGAGGCGCGTGTGATCGGAAGACAGGCACATCGTGTGGAATGCCGGCCCCGACACCTGCGAACCGTTCGTTCCAACGAATTAATACTTTTATGTGTCACGAGGATAATGGTGATGCCAGTTTTATGGGGGATTCGGGGGTTTACCCTTTGCAGGTGGAATTTCGGTGGAAATGTCTAATTGTAAGTCGATAGAGGGTGGTTTTTGGGGTGGACTCGGAGAGGTGTCGCTAGTGAATTGGGAAGTAAAGATTTTATCTGAATATTTTATACTGAATGTTGGTTAAGCTTTATTGTTTTAGTGCGACAGATTAAGTGGTGACTCACTTCTCGAGTGTAAAAGGTTAATAATTGCTCTATCTTTCTTATGTATGATATATCCAACAAAATTCGGTGTAAGTAGATAGAGGGTGTTTTTTGGAATTAACTTGAAGAGATATCGTGAGTGAATTGGGAAATAAAGATTTTATCCGAATATTTTACACGTGTATTATATACAGTTGAATGTTGGTTAGATTTTATTGTTTTAGTGCGACAGATTAAGCGGTGACTCACCTCTCTTATATCTCATATGTCCAACAAAATTCGCACCGAGGGTGGTTTTTGAAATGAACTCGAAGAGATATCGCGAGTGAATTGGGAAACAGCTTTTATCCTAATATTTTACGTGTTTTTATTCTATCTTTTTAAAATAATTTTACTCTATCTTTCTTATATCTCTCATATATCCAACAAAATTCGGTTCGCTCGATACGTCACCAAGAGAATTAACCCTTTCATCGGGAAGTGTCGAATGTTTCTAGCGAAAAGGTTGGAGAGGCGACTCTCAGTCGATGAAATTCAATATTTGCCGTTGAATTGCGCGATACAACGGTTCAACTGACGAAATACTCGAATGAAATACATCCAGCCGCGCACCTTGTACGAAGTCAAGTTGTCGATGGTCTCTCGCCACAGAGTGAAGCAGGTGCCGCGCTCGGCCAACAGAATCTGAATCCGCCTCTTGGATCTCGACCGTGTCTCCCCAAGGTCCAGAACCACCACCGGTATTCCGGTGAATCGCAGCTCCCATCTTTCGGTTTGAGACGCATTCCCCAGATACAAGTTCGCCAGCGACTCGCAGACGAACACCTGTTGTTACAAATTACAATCGAACATTATCGAAATTCTCACTTATTCATCGAAACGATTATGCTCGACGAACCGCAAATACGAAGAATAAGAATAAGAATTCGAATGGAATTCAGAATTCCAGGGTCACGAGTTAGGAACGATCAATTACATAATACAATTGTAACAGCTGATGCCGCCGATAAACAGAGTCGACGCGAAAAGGAGGGACTCTCACCTGAGACTTCAGTCCCCGAAAGAACGTCTCGAGCTGTTCGCGCTCCACTTGGCTGACAGGCTCCAGGCGCGATTCGTCGCTGTTCTCGGAACTGTCGCTGCCCTCGTAGCTCGACGTGGCCGAGGTGTCCGGCTCGCCGGTGGAGGACAGTCTTCTCCTCGCCGCGCTGCTGTACTCGCTGTAGTAAGAGGAGCTGTGCAGGGACAGGTTCGACTGCAACGTCGGGCAGGACGACGCGTACACGGGCGCATTCATGTTTTCCTGAAACAGACGGAAGTCCCGTGAGTACACAGCCGATTTCCACGGGATTCGATTGTCCCCGATCCCCCCCGGGGGCCAAGTGGCGATCAAGGTATGGGAATTCGCGATTCCAATAGCTAGGGTTGCGATATGGCAGGCACAGCATTCATGTATGCGAGAAGCCGAACAGGTGCTACCAATAGACCTGCGATCGGATTGGTACTACGGGCCAATGTTACTGTACTATTGGATTTTCCATGTGGCGATCACGGTTCGGGAAGTGGCGATCCCGGGGTCCTTAGCTAGGGTCTAACCAACCCTTGGTGTAGACGAGACACCTCGATATGTTAGGCACAGCATTCATGTATGCAAGAAGAACAGGTCCTGCCAATAGACCTGCGATCGGACTGGTACTACCGGCGCTTCGGATATCTGGTGTTAGATTAGTGGCAGTGGTTGAAACCTACGGGTAAATGTTTGGTTCCGGCGCACCCCCTGTTATGGTCGAGGATGGAACACCCCTGGAGCTTTAGTGAGTAAAAATCTCACGCTACCCTCGCCAGCTCTACTGGTTAGGGGTGCCTGATGCAGGTTATCCAGGGTTAAAAAAAAAGTGGTTGAAACCTACTCGAGGGTCTCGTGAGCAGCGTCGCGCCTGCTCCTGGACCGAGGAAATCTGGCAGAGTTTTTGGAAAGGTAACTCGACGCTACCGACAGTCTACCTTCACAGGACTCGTCATCCCCAGGAAGTAACGCTAGTAAGGCTACGTGCTTAATCTCAGTCTCTCGCCAATGGGGGCTCTCCTTGGTAGGTCTTTATGGTAGATAGTTGGAGGATAATCGGGATTCGATTGTCCTGGATGACCGGGAGGATCGTCGAGCGTTCGCGGGCTGGAGGCGATAAATCCAGACGAGGGAGAACCTGGTCCTGCCGCGAGCTCCAGCGAAAGCTCATCGATTTTCCGCAGTGGCCGAACCCCGTGCCGGGCAGCTAGCTACGCGTAGCTGATATCGCTCCAGAAATAACCGTGACCCGTTTATCGGTCGCCGTCCGTAACTTCGATCCGAGATCGAAGATCGAGACGATCGAGTCGGATGGACACGCGAGGTTCTCGCGAGGACGGGTTTAGGGGATTAAGATTAACCCTCTGCGGTCCGAAGTACTCTTGGTTTCTCGGTTTGAGGTTCACGTCGACGTTGGTTCATTCAATTACAGCTTAATATGACGCTCTGTTTATTTATTCAAGAATATTACTCGAGTCTGACTCGACGTTGGACTGCTGAGGGTTAAGTAATTGATATATAATTTAGCTTCATCTGTTTACAGTTTAATTTAGCTTCATCAAAGTTTACAGTTTTACTGCGTCGAATCGATCGACCGAGAGTCACCTTTCAAATGCAAAGGGTTAATAGCGTAACGAAGTTGATAATAGTGCGCTGCAAGGATTGCGACGACAAATGATTAATAACTGTCCCTTTTCTTTGCTACAGAAGAATAATTCCACGAAAAAGCGTCAAGATTTTCATGGCGCTTAACAAGTTAAGCTACCTCCGAAGTGCAGCTACTGATGCCACCAGATAATTAATAATTGTCCCTTTTCTTTGCTACAAAAGAGTAACTCCACGAAAAAGCGTCAAGATTTTCACGTTGCTCAACGCGTTAAGCTGCGAAGTGTCCAGCTACCATGGCGTCGCCAGATAATTAACCCTTTGCACTCGAAAGTTTTTCACTTGAAACATTCTGTACCTTCTAACGAGACGTGGACAAGATTCTTTAAAACGAATTTATCAAGAAATCACGCATAAATTAGGCAACAAAGCTATTTTCCCTCGATATTTCACGTATTGATGCATGGGAGTCGCCTCCCGAGTGCAAAGGGTTAATGATTGTCCCCTTTCTTTGCTATAAAAGATCAACTCCACGAAAAAGCGTCAATATTTTCACGTTGCTCAACGCGTTAAGCTGCGAAGCGTGCAGCTACCGTGTCGTCGCCGCGATCCCGAGTAAGAGGGTCTCCGTCGATTACGAGCGACCGGTAACGTTATCTCGGTCGCTTTTCAGTTTCTTCGAATTGGAATCTCGAACGGGAACGAAACGAATTGAATCTCGCCGAGCCCGGCGACTAGTACGCTAAACGAGTTCGGCTGGTTCCCGGGAATAGAGGTACGCTCGGAACACCGATGAGAGTGGTGCCACGGTCGCGGTTAATCGAGCAACGGCTATTAATCGACCCACTTCATCCCGGCGAGAAAAGTCTCGTTCTCGTTCTCGTTCGACCTTAATTCGATCGGGCTGACGCCTTTGACGAGTTAGCCGGCTGACTAATCGAGATCCGTAGGCCGGCGAGCCGCCCCTTCGCTGATCGTTCGCCGACATCCATCGAGAAATTCCGACGAGCGACGTTCCCGCGCTTCGCGACGTGACCCCTTCTCGGTCGGAGGACGACGACAAACGCGCGTTGCACGTACGAGTCAACGATCTCGTGTCTCGCATTCTTTCTACCCGACACAATGCTCCTTCCTTAGTTTCCATCGCTGCCGGTTCTTTCCTATCGCGGTTTTACAACGCACGCGAACCCTTCCGAACGATCGCGGACCGATCTTTCTACGCGCGAGACGGCGGACAAGGGAACCTTCACCAGGTTTTGATGGAACTCGCGCGGGACGTAGTTAATCGGTTAACCGTGGAGTTTAGCTTGAAGCTCTCGTTCGAGTAGTATCAGAAAAGGAAAGGATCTAACCGATCTTTCTACGCGCGAGACGGCTGCCGAGGGAGCCTTCACCAGATTTCGATGGAACTCGCGCGAGACGTAGTTCTTAATCGGTTAACCGTGGAGTTTAGCTTGAAGCTCTCGTTCGAGTAGCATCAGAAAATGAAAGATCCTCTGTGAAAGATTGAAGCCTCTGTTTCGCCATTAACCCCTTGCCCTGTGATTTATTTCTTATCTATGACCGATACTGCTTTATCGTTAATCATTGATTAAGAACACAACAAACGTTAATGCTTCTATGTACAGTTATTGCCCAAGTTAACGATTGATAATAGAAAAGTGATACTCAGTAAGTAAACTTAGATTTCTGAAATTCAATTGAACATTTTCATCACGAGCCTGACACGATTGTAGGTCAAGGGGTTAAGAACGCGTGTACACGTTGAAGTTACGTTTGATTGAAAGAGTTACCGATCTCACGTCGCGACAACGGAAAGGGTGGAAAGACGACGTCTCCACGGAACCGTATTCACCCGCGACGCGCGCGTTTGATCGGTTCACGGCGAATCGAGGGATGCACCGGGAAGAGCAGCGAAGGAAACGGAGCGAGCGACGAACTGCTCGAGATGTCGGTTCGCGCGCGCGAAACGCACACCGGAAACGCATTGTCCGCGCGCGCCTCGCTCGCCGAGGATGCGCCATTGTTTCGCGCCGATAAGAACTCTGCCCAGCGCAACGCTTCGGCCGTAGATCGGCGCGGCGATAATTGGGTTCGCGAACCGTTTCGTCTCGCGCTCCCACGTCCGAGTCGCTCGACCGTGGCCACGGAAAACGCGAGGCGACGTTATCGCGCGTCTTCGCCGTGAAAACCGGGCCGAAGACGCGTCCGCTAGGAACGACGAGGACGACACGCGTTATCGCCGCCGCGGAATGCGCACCGAACCGACCGGGAAATTCGCGATACGGTTGATTAATCGCGCTTCGTCGAACCGGTCCGTATCGCGGAAGCCGAGAGATAACGTCGGCGACGCGCGTCGGGATAGAAGAACGCTCGAAATTGCACGCTCGCGATCGAACACGAGGGATTCCTCGGCTCGCTGGGAAACAAGAGAAACAAGCCGAACGTACTTACGCACGGTTGTCGCGAGAAACGAGCACATCCTGCGCAACCATTTGTATTCTCCCGTTGGCATCGTTTACGTTCCTACTTTCCACTCGCGAAATACTTTTCCACGTCTTTTCTCTCTCTCCCTCTCTCTCCCTCTCTCTCTCCGGCGGAGTTTCTTATAATAGATAGCCAAGTGGAACGCGAGGGCAGGGTGTAACACGGTTCGACCGGACGCGACGCGCCGGGGAAACGATCTAGCCTCTTTCGGCTCTTCTCCGTTTCAGGTTTACGTTCGCGTGATCGTCGCTTGGAGGATAGAATTCTAGACTGTCGTCGAAAACGCGGTATAGATATGAAGCGGGAAACTTGTTGCAACTATCAGCTGCTAGGAATTTCGATTAACGATACGGGAATCGAAATCTTTCCGGATATAATGGAGCACACTTGGAACTCGAGGTTCTAAGGATCTGCACCGGTTGGGATAAAGTCTGGTATGTAATAGAGAGCACGATCGAAATCTTTCCGGATCTAATAGAGCACACTTGGAACTCGAAATTCTAAGGATCTGCACCGGTTGGGATGAAGTCTGGTATGTAATAGAGAGCAAGATCGAAAGCGACGAGAGATCGGAAAGAAACGCGTCCGACGATCGGCTGATCGGACATCAGCGTCGTCGCTAACGGAGAGGGGCCGCGTTGCGGCTTCGCCGAGCAGCCGCTCGAGAAATAACGTAATTATTACGGAGACGCGAACGACCGTAACGAGGAATGGCGTCATCTCCATCAACGACGCTGCCGCGAGAGAGTTCGAGCCGCGTCGTCTGTCAACGATCGCCGGCGGAACTCTTTCCCGAGTCTTTCGATCGCGCGTTTGGATGCCACGGGGAACTTTCATCCGCGAGAAGGACGAAGCGCGAGACGAGGAGACAAGAGGGGAACAATAAAGACTCCCATACACGTTGAAACCCGCGAGGATGATACAAAGCCTACAACCGATGGGTTTGAGTCTTCCAAAGTATGATGATGCGCGTTGCACTCGGAGAAGAAGTGAGAAAGGCTGAAACTCGTCGCTCGTCGCGATGCCTGCGTGTTTCAGCGTGTGCGGGGCCCTTAGGGGAAGGAAGAAAACAAACTGCCGGCTATCGAGGGATCTCGAAATCAAAGGATGTTCCGCGAAACGTTGATCGTTCGCGAGAAGCGGTG